CGATTCATAAACAATTCATTAAACGTTTTGTTCATTTATACCTCTACGAGAGAGTAATAAAAATAAAACAATATCAAAATCCAGTAATCAAATTAAAATTATTTAAATCTCAATGACTAAAAATAATGTAACTAACGTTGAGTGATGAAAGTTACACTTAAACCAATAAAAAACAAATGGTTAACTGTATAACAAATGGTTAACTGCATAACAAAGGGTTAACTACATGAATGATCACTTTCGTTTATATTTTGTCTACTTTTTCTCACTGGTTTCAAAAAACATAATATATGATCACTTTCGTTTTTATTTAATTAAAATGGTTAACTGCCATTAGACCTTTAACGGATTATTGACACCCCAACCCGTATCCGACCCAGATCCGAGTCTAAGGTGTCACATTAACTTTTCAAAACGTTTATTTGACAAAATCTAATAAAATTTCAGTTTGACATTACAAATAAATCAAATAACTTTTATTATATAAAGCATATGGTTTTACAAACTTATCAGAGCATATCCAATACAAATCTTTTACCTTACATGTCAACTAAAATTCCAGATACAAAATACATATTAATAAAAAACTTTTATGATCTGATAATCAGGAATGAGGTGTTGATCTGTCTTGCATTACTTACCCTTGCTTTACTTCCTTTCTTGCTTCTCAAAACCTACGTGTGAAACACTCACACGCTAAGTCAATGACTTAATGAGGCATTAATAAACTTAAATATAAAATCTAATTTCTAATTTCTACTATGCACACTTCATATAATCCTACTAATTTATCAAACTAATTATGCATCCAAAACATAAATACATACATGTACATATCATATTACCTTATATATTCTTTTAGGTAATAGTTATACATATGCACACATATCATCATTTACATTCATAACCTTATTATATATATTATTATTGTTTATCCCTTTTATCTTATCATCTTATTCTTTTCTTTAACACACATACACATCATATAATATCATATCACCAAACATCCATATAACATCACATAGAATTTTCTCATATTATATCTTTAATGGACCATGTACACATGTTAGAACTATAAACATGTGAGTCTATAGAGGTTGTGCACTAATGTTGTCACCACAACTCGTATAAATGCACCGAAGTGTAACGTAGAATTGTATCGAAGTGCCGTGTAGAAATGCACCGAAGTGCCATATAAAATGTCCCTAAGGACCACATAGAATTCCTTAAGAATCATATATATATATTCTAAGGACCAAGTATGTGTCTCAAAAGACCTCATAAATGTTCCAAAGGATACATATATGTTTCGAAGGACCGCGTAGACCCTCGACTCTTGGCATGCCAACTATACCTCTAGCTCTCATGACACATAGCATGGGCATTAATATTTAAGTTATTACACATTCACATATTCATATCACATATACACATAATCTCATAGTTCTTTCACATAGCTCATTATCACATTTCATAAGATCACACATAGTCGCGTAGTTTATTTCCATATAATTCACATGTACATATACTCATATAGATGTTATCATTTCTCCTGTAATAACATAGATCATATCTCATAACATACACCATGTACATATGATAACTTATCTCACATCATATAACTTATGGTTTGTACTTTTATACTCACATAGATCATGTAACATATTATAACCTATAAACATATGTCACTTATGCATGTATTCATGTACACATTTTCATATAGTCTATATATATCAATAAAATATATCTTAACTCCATGTTTTACATAATTACTTATCTCACATCATTTATATACTAATTTCATATATTTACTCAGTTCAGTTTCACATAGCTTATCACATATACTTGTATTATCATAAATTATCATCAAATAACTCCTATAACATCTTCCTATTGCTTCATAGATCTTTACTGTATATCTTATTTATTATAGGTTCATTTAAGCCTATAAATCTTCCCCATATAATTTATCTTACATGTTAATATAATCACTTCTATCAATATCTCCAAATTTTATATATTATTCTCATATTGTCCTATAGGTCAATGTCATTTAACTTATCTCACTTTTCATTTAATCCCTTAAATTGATTATACCATTTCCACTATATCTAACTCAGGAAATTTTATATCTTGTTCTCATATCTTCATCTAGTCATATATCCACATATATTATATCACTTCATCTTGATATCACATAAGTCATTGCTATTTTACATAGTTCATGATCCTATAACTTATATAAATTGTTTCCATATAACATATAATACGAACCAAGCATATTATCATAATACCGAACATAATCATGCTTCTAATCATACAATCATATATTTAGAATATCATAAACATACTTTTCAAAAGTCTAATTTCCATATATAATACGTATATGTTAATAGTATGCACTCACATGGTCTCACTAGTCAATAATGATCTCTTATCTTTCCCCAATCGATCTTACTTGCCCAATGTTCTGGAACTTGTTTAGGCTTAATATCTACATAATTATAACTTCTAAGACGATTATTAGAAGCCTAAACATTATAATTCGATTCTAATAACTTAAGCTAATTGAGGAACATAATTCACATTTTTCCATTAAGGGTTATCGGTACACTACGGGGGTATCGGTACCCAAATTAATTTTGAAATTCACAGGTATTGTTACCTGCCTGTGTGTATCGATACATAGGTATTGGTACACCCCTTAATGTATCTATTCACTATGAAGATGTTCTTCAAAATTGGTCTTAGTGTATCGGTACACCTTGCCCAGAACAGACTGTTTCACCCGAAAATTATCAACTCTTTACTCAATTCTTCTATTTTAAACTCCCTTATTGCCATAAAACCCAACTACAAGCACCTTAACTAACTTCTATCATTCCAACACCTTATTATCTTCTAAATATCATTCAAATTCTTATAACTAAGAATTTTACTAAATTTTCCATATAATTGAAACTTAGTTTTAACACTTATAACTTCTTATTCACACTTATGGCAAGTTAAATTCAACTTCCAAATTCATTTAAACCTTCTTATTCAAAATTTCACTTAAAAACTCTATTTACTTAATCTCTCCTAACATATCCATTTTTGAATTTTTACTTATCTTTAGACTTCCTTAAGCTTTCTTATCATCTCAAGAATCAAAACAAGCTTAAAAATAAAAAAAGTAACCAGCAGAAGATAACTTACCTTATACAAGACTTCACGGTGGAGAGGAAGAAGAAGACTAAAGAATGCTCTGGATATCTCTTCCTCCTTCTTTCCCCCCCATTCCACGTGGTAATATCCTTAATAAAGGAAAGATAAAAAATCTTTCTTATGAAATTACCATTATACCCTTCACACTTTCCATAATTACCATTTAATTCAATACTAAAATATTTCTATTTAAGTCCTTGAACTTTTAACTTATTTCAAAATTGAGTACATAGTTTTCACAATTTGCAATTTAGTCACTGACCTTAATTTGGGATGTTACAATGACACAATGAATTTATAAAATTAAAAAGGGTAAACTACACAAATGACACTAATGTTTGAGTAAGTTTTCGGTTTCCCTACCAAAGTTTCAAAAGTAACTGAGTGGTCACTTATTATATTCCCTTTCTCTCCCCGAACTCTTCTTCTTCTCCCCCACCGCCACTCTTCTCCTCCTCCCCTTTTACTCCTCAATATGGTCTTGGTTTTGTCACTGTTGGCAACCGCGGTGCCATTCACAACGCATTATTTCTTCGCCTCTGGTTCGAACACATTCATGAGATCAATAAGAAGAAAACATGTAGTTAACCCAATAAAACAAGAAGAATCATGTGATACATTTTTTGACAAAGTACAAAATATGACCTACCAAGCACTCTTAAATATATATACTCACGTCAGACACTCAATATGAGTCCAAGCAACATGACCAACTACCAGGTGAGCAATGTGCAGTGAGTATGATCAGAGAGGAAGACTTGATAAAGCCTTACTATTTTTCTATTGAACTTAGTAAACACACAAAAACACTTACTTTGCCCAACAATTTCATATTGTTTCTGCTACAAACACAATTTCAGATTTATTTTATATTTTCATTTAAATGGAGCGGTGGACAAGAAAATGGACATCACATGGAAAAATTTAAACCTTGGATAATATTAACATCGATCAAACTTTGTTAGAATAATTGACCACTTTGTTACTTTTGAAACTCTGGTAGGGAAACCAAAAGCTTACTCAAACATTAGCGTCATTTGTGTAGTTTATTCTTTTTAATTTTATAAATTCATTGTGTCGTGTTAGTAATCCGTTAAAGGTCTAACGTCAATTAACCCTCAATGATCACATTTTAATTAAATAAAATGAATGTGACTATATATTATATTTTTGAAACCAACGAGGAAAAGTTGACAAAACATAAACGAAGGTGACTGTATATTATAATTTTTAAAATCAGTAAAGAAAATTGAACAAAACATAAACAAAAATGATCATCCATGTAGTTAACCCAAAAATAAAATCCATAATTTTTAAATAGGGTAAATTATGCTTTTCGTATCTAAACTACTAGTTTTGATATATTTTAGTACCTAAACTTTTAATTTTTTTCAAAATCATATCTAAATTTTAGTTTTTTTTTCATTTTAGTATTCGTTATAAAAACTTTAGTTTTTGTTCCACTTTAGTATTTCTGTTTCAAAATTTAACACAAAATTAAAAAAAAAATTTAGGTACTAAAATAGACCAAAACTTATAATTGAGATATTAAAGGCGTTAAAATTTTAATAACATAATATATTAAAATAAAATAAAAATTAAATGTTAGTTATGAGTATGAAAAATTAAAAATTAAAGTATTAAAATGGATTAGAACTCCATTTAAATATTAGACATAGCCGGCCGACGAAAATAATCCATGTGACGGCCCACTACTAAGAAATAAACACAGTTTCGGGGATTTCCAAGTCCGAACATTGAAAAGCTACAAAAAAAAATGTTAATGTCTTCCTCGTATATGTCATGGAGATCGTCTGCAACAGCTAACAGGAGACCAACTCAACGCATTGTCACACCCAAAAATTCAGTACCCATCCATCCGGATCCGAATTCCAAACCCGTCCTTCACTTTCTGGCCTCCGGGCTCATCATCTTCCTCGGACTACTCCAATTCTTGCCGGCTTCTCATTTCCGCGACCCGTCCGACCCTCTCAGAAAGTGGGTCGCTTTTAACTCCCAGCCCTCTTCTGCCGCCGTCGATGAATACGACGGCGTGATACACATCATTTCGTGGATGCGATGTTTGGACCTTAAAGTGTTGTCTGTCTTTACAAACTCAACTCTTTATAGTTCCAGGTAACAGTTTACTCAATCAAATTTGCTCTGTTTCCACTTTCTGGGCTTTTCTGGGTTGCAAATTGGCCATTGAAATGATTATAAGAGCAACTTTGAAGGTGCAAATTATGATTTTGTCTAAATATTTTGCTGCCAGATATCCGGACCTGCTTCACTTTCATTTCTTTACACCACAAGGGACAAAGACAAAGTTCCTTTTATAAGCTGAAAGTTGTATTTCCACATTCAAACATTGAACTTCATGGGTAAAGATAATCTTTTTTTTTCTTTTCTTACTATCATTCATTATTACACACTTGCAGAGTTCATGTCTTGGATTGTCAAATTTTGTAGGCAAGAGGAAGTGAAAGAAGCAATTAAGAGGGCTTCTGCTAGAGTTGAACATGACAGTCTCAGTCTTGAGGAAATAACACCTTTCATTATACCAAGTGTTCATCAGTCTCTAAGAAAATTCTTATATGTTTCCCCCAATCTAATTTTGATGGTTGGTTTCCTTTTTCCATGTAATTTATATTTGCTGCAATTATTAAATTCCTAAGTATATTTCAATGCATTGGAACTTGAAACACTATAAAACATTGCAGGTAGTAGGGATAGACATAGAATTTTACATTGGGCTGTTTTCCCTGCTTGGGATCACATTTCTTGGTGTTCATACAATTTTTTAGACTTCGTTCTTCATTGCAGGGAAGAATAGAAGAGCTAACTGGGATTGACTTAGCCGGCCATGGCGTTGCAGCTGCTGAGGACTGCTCTAAAAGGCTAAATAGCTACGTGAACTCGGATGTCTCGGATGCTATCCAAAGATCGGCTTCGAAGCCATGAATATCCATCACACCATATGAGAAGGATGCATGTATGCCTCACTTAAGTTTGCTTTTGATTGATGGACATAAATTGGAGGACTTTTTGGAGACTGTCTTATGGTGGAGTAGAATTCTCAATTTAAGTCGCAGGTCACTTGTTTCTCCCTTCCTCTCAATATTTCTGATGAAAATCCTTACAACTGTTACGTAAAATTCTTCATTAAAGATGACTATTATATATGTATGTGAAGATACTAAATTTTTTACCCATTTTATTATTATTATAATTATTATCATAATTATAATTATTATATATATATATTATTATTATTAAAATTAAAAAAATAATAATAATAATAATAATTACAAACAGGCCCAGATTGGACCGACCCAATTACAAATGGCCCATAACAAACCTTAACAGATTAGGGTTTCCCTCTTCCCAGCCGCCTCAGCTTCCTATCGTTGGATCTGGCAAGATCCAACGGTCCAGAGATACCCAACAAAGAAACCCTAGGGTATCATAACCCTAGGGACACGTCCCAGCTGCCAGTGCCACGCCGCGACGCCGCCGCCTTGCTGAAGAATCCAGAAGCTTTGCTGCTTCAACACCAGCCGCACACGTCTCCCCAAATGGTGAGTCACCACTGGAAGTCCGGTGACTCACCGAAGAACCCCTTTTGGGACCGGTCCGAAGCTATCATCGGTGGTGGCTATAAAAGCCACCGAGCCCCTGCCAAGAAAAAAAAAGGAGGAAGAACCGAGAAAGAGAAGACAGACCGAGAGAGACAGAAACAGAGAGCAAAGATACAAAAACAAAGAACAACAACCCACAACCAGCAGTAAACCAAAACAGAAACGAAAAGAAAGGAAAGAAGCTTACCGAGGAAGCCACCAGACCTCTTCAAACGTCACCAAAACCTTCGGAAACCGAAGGTATTTCTTTAGATTTGCTCCGATCAGGAGCTATTTAGGAGAAAAAAGCACCGGAACCGTCCTTAGGACGGTCCGATCTACATAGTGATGAAAAAATAAAATTTTTCGGATACCGGATGCGGTGGCCGGCGGTGAGGGTCACGGCGGCAGACGGCTGCCGTCCGGTGACCGGCTTCCCTCCGATGAGGGAAGCTAGAGAGAGGGGAGAGCGTTTATTTCTCTCTCAGTTAGAGAGAGAAATAAAAAAAAGAAATGAAATATGGCCCGAAGGGCTAGCTGAATTCGGCTTTAAATAGCCCTTCCCGAACGACGTCGTTTCGGGGAGGGCTATTCGTGGAATTAAATAATAGTTAAATCCTTTCCGCAGTCAACCTAATTTGTAAACTTTACATTTTAGTCACTAAATCGAGTTTATAATCCTTTTAATTCGGTTCTTTAATTTTGATTTTATTTATTTTAGTCCTTTATATTAAAATAATATATATATAGGGTAAATAACAGATTTAATCCCTTAATTTTAATAATTAATATTTTAATCTGAATAGTATGTTTTAATTTATTTTAATCTAATATCTGAATTTTATATAATTTTATTTTAGTCACTAAATTAATAAATAAAAAGTAGCATGTTTAATCCCTATAATTTTTGATTAATTATGAATTAGGTTTTTTAATTTTAATTTTATTATAATTTAGTCATTAATTTTAAATGTTTTCATTTATTTTACTGCTTTTAAATATATCGTTCTAATTGTATTTTTACTTGTTTATATATTTAAATATTTTTATTATTATGTAGTCATAAATATATATATAATAAATAATAATTTATTTATTTTTTTCAATAAATTATTTTAATATTTATTTTTCAATATCGAAAAAAAGGGCAATCTTAATACAACTGGATGTCCTATTCTGGTATTTTAAAATTAAATATTATAAAAAAATTTATTATTTAATTTTATTCAAATTAATATTTATTAATATCAAAGAAAAGAGCTGTCTTAAGGCACCTAGAAGTCCCTTTTTGATATTTTTAAATAAATAAATTTTTTTAAATATAATTTTGAAATAATAGGATTATAAATTAAATATATTTTGAATTTTTAAATTTTAATAATAGAGACAATTTATAATTAAAAAGTACCAATTTTGGGCGTTGTAGGGGTGCTAATCCTTCCCTAAACGTAACCGACCACGAATCCCTTTTTATTATTAAAAAGAACGAATTTTTGGTTGTAAACGCAGATCAGTTTATCTTTTTTTAATTGATGTTTTCTTAAAACTCTTTTAGAAAATAATTTTTAGGTATTCGACCTACCTGACCCAAAAGGCCGATGGCGACTCCCAAATTATTTTCAAAACCATTTATTCACATCAATTTTTCCGCCAAATAAATATTTCGTGCCCAGACGAAAACCGGTTACGACAGCTTGGCGACTCCACTGGGGACCTGGTCAAACTTTTAAAAATCAATTATAAATTGTCTCTATTAATTATAAATTAAAATTTCATATATTTAATTTATAATTCTTTTTTATATATACATATTATTTTTATAGTATTTATATATATTATTAATATTTCATTTTATTTGCAAGTATTTTATTTCATTATTTATTTTTCTGTCAGAGGTTTGAACATTTCTCCTCACACACAATACTTGCATTGCATAACATAAGCTCTATAATTGAGTTTGTCCCTTTTAAGTGGGAGTGAAAGCGACGTCTTCGTGAGAATTTATTCTCCGTGTCAGACCTAGCAAGTAACTTTCGGGGTTCATATGCTCTATGTCTTCGTGAGAATTTATTCTCCGTGTCAGGCATAGAGAAATGTATCCCCTCGAATTGAACTCGATCCATTTTAGTCTGTGATGGACTAGGATTGAGGGTTAGTAACCCAAGGGGGCACTAACAAGGATAATTCGGGTACCTTTATTCTTAGATCTGAAACCTTGCATATAATAAACCCTAGAAACTCTTCCGATCTGAAGTCATGCCAAAATAGGTGTACACACTGGAGAAATGAATTCTAACTTTCCTTTTAATTAATTAATTTATTTTCTTACTGATTAAATTACATGTGAATTTAAATTATTTAAATTATTTAAAAGCATGTTTAAATAAAGATATTTAGGTAGATATTATTGTTAAATTTCTTTATTATGTAAACTAATTCATTTCTTTTTGTGTGTTCTTTATTTTTTCTGTTTGCATAGCATCATACAGGATAAAAGGAATTGATTCTCGTGTTAATTGTCTCATTGGAAAGCCTTCATCCATGGATAAAAAGTGTTCAAATCAAATAATTCTAAACTCAGAAGTAAGACAGTGTGCTGAGGACTTACAAAGACAAGGAGGAGACAGTCTGCAAGATGATTATGTATCAGACTTGGCCAGTTATGCTCCAGTTTCGCTAAAAAGAAATGACATGCAAGATTTGTGAAGCATTTGGGAAAGTTGGGACTCAAACAAAAAATTACAGTTTTATCAGACTTACGGAGACATCCCACATTTGCTCTATGTCGAAGTTGATGATGAATTACTCAGAGCTCTAATTCAATTCTGGAATCTAGGGTACAATTGCTTCACTCTCAATAAGGAGGACTTGGTCCCTACTATTGAAGAGTACACAACTTTGATACATATTGAAGGGGCTTTGGAGAATCGAATCTATTCAAAGTCAATTAAAACTCAACCCTTTCGAGTTAAATTAGCAAAGATTGCCGGGGTACGAGAAGAATGGGTGGCATCCCGTACAAAACAAAAAGGCGAAAGCGAAGGCATTGCTTGGACCAACATTAAAGAACTTATTCAGAGTCATCCAGACACTAAAGTACGATTCGATCTATTTGCTCTGGGTATGTATGGTATGGTCATCTTCCCAAAAGTATTGGGATATGTTGAAGCTGCAGTGGTAGATTTGTTTGAACAGCTACCGAAAAAGATTAATCCTGCTTATGCAATCCTAGCAGAGACTTTCAGATCGTTAAATGCTTGTAGAAAGCTAGGAGGTGGACGATTCTCAGGGTGTACCCAGTTGTTATATATTTGGGTCCGTAGCCATTTCTGGAGGACAGAAAAGGTTTCATACCGACGTTTTAATACGGATTACTCACCATTAAAAGAATTTCTGGAGCAAGAATGGCCGAAAGAAATTAAGAAAGATATGCGGATTAATGCTTTTCGAAATCTGCAAAGCAATGACATTGTTTGGCGAGCCCCGCGGTAAATCCAAAGGGAATTCTTTTACAAATGTGGTGATTACAATTGGATAATGCTGCTCGGATTATGGGGAGGAATTGGATATGCACCACTTCTGGTCATAAGACAGTATGAAGGTCGTCAATTTGTACCTGTCACCGCTGGATTACATTCATCTGAGTTCGTATTCCACAGCAAAAATTATAAAAGAAATATCATGGAAGCCGTTACAGCTTGGAAAACAACTTTTTGTATCCGAGCTAAAGCAGCAAAAGAAATGCTAACTCCTGATTATGAGGAATGGAGATATGTCAGGAAAAATGAAAATATTCCTCTACCAGATCAAAATGAGGATATCTCTATGGAAGATCGCATTAAGGTGGTTCCATCAGAAATTGAAATCCTGAGAGCTGAGTTTGAAGTAGAAAGAGAAGGCTGGTCAAGAGAATTTGAGCAAATGAGACGAGATAAAGCTATGTTGGGTGTTGATATTGACTTTCATTCATCACAATGTGCAATGTTGAGAGAAAACAAAGAAAAAGTTGATGGTGAATTTAGAGCATTAAAGAAAAATTACCAAGAGTTATATAAATCCCGGAAAGCATCAGGATCAAGCCAATCAACAGTACAGATGACCAGAGAGTTGAACATCGAGAAAAGTCGAGTTGAAGATCTGAAAGGAAAGAATAGCCGTTTACTCAAAAGCCTTGAGAAAGGAAAGCAAAAAATGGAAGATTTTGAGGTTGACAGAAGAGAGCGAATTATAAAACACAAAACTGAACACCGCGAGATCATGAATGAAATGCAAAGAGAAAGGGATCGAGCCAAAGATTTAGAAGAGATGAAGAATGACATCTTTGATAAATTTGAAGGTGAGAAAAATATCATGTTCAAGGGTTTTGAATCT